TATATATATATATATATATATATATACACACGTGTGTAAGAGGAGGGTGAGCGCACATTCGGGAGAAAGGACTGGATTGATGCTAGACGACGTGTCGCCGGGAAATCTGGACATTTATCTCGGACGATTTGTCCGGACGCCCGGGGCGAACACGATTCTAACTGGCCGGATATCGAGACGGTGCGAGCGTACGAATTGTTCCTTCCTGTTCTTTCAGATTATACCTTCCTTTTTTCTTAGCTATTCGAGCTTAATACGGGGGATACAAAGATGTGCAAGTGATTTACGTGGAGATTGGAATATATAGATTTCTTTTTTTCTTTTTCTTTTTTTTTTTTTAGGAAATTTTGAAGGATTCGAAGCAAGTTGGTTTTGTGGATGAATCATTTCTTCCTGTGCTTTTACTTTTTTGTGCTTCTTCCTTTTTTTAGTTGTGGAATTAATATGGGGGACAATAATGCGTAAGTGTGGAAATTATATGTGGAATCTATTTCTCTTTTTTTTTTTTTAAATTTTGGAAAAAAGAGTGTTCAAGCTATGAATCGTGATTGAATATTGGGACACTTCGACTTTTTATTTTTTAAATCAACTATCTAATATTGTAATAAAATTTGTAAATATATGAACAAGGATATTCGAGGAACTAGCTACATTATGGATCGATTGTTTGTGTAAAAATGGAATGGAAAGTCGGTCTTTGTAGCTCTGTGTCTATCGACAGGAATAAATATTTCTTCTATGGGTTAACCCTTAACCCCACTATGCACAGAGTGAAACGTATCTTGATAAGTGAACGTATAATATTAATAAGAATATCTTGATGGAATAATTATTAATGGAACGATTTCTTAAAAATCGATATTCAATTGAGATTTGAAACAAAAAAATATTTGAATATCGTGGATAAAACTATTTTTTAAACGATCTAATACATGATTCACTGTCAGCTCTATATAACGAGCATAGTTGTACATAAGTTATTTGAAGGAATTTAACTATACGATGTATCCTTGGAAAATACCATCCACTCACTATAACTGCATTACATTGATCCAACATTCCACGAAGGTTTACACAAACAACATCAAATATCACTCTTACGTCACATCCGTATCCCCTATCAATTCCTCGAATTTTAACAGTTTCCAAAATCAACTCAACGAGAATAAAGAAAGCTATAATTATACAGCGTGGAAAAACAAAAATATCTGAAAATTTTCCAAATTTTTAAAACAGATTAAAATACTTTAAATTCCAAGTCTCTTTTAAATAGAATTAAAAATTGCTTCGCACTGGTCCAAAAACGAGCCAACCTAACTTCTCGGGAACACTTCGATGAATCTGGAAATTTAAAAACTTCAATTATTATACATTTAAAACATTAAAAAAGATATTTTAACTTTAAAAGGGGAAAGTCGTACAAATTCCCTTTTATTTTGAATATCCCACGATCATTCGACCACCCCCACACGATATAACAATTCGTCATGAAAATAACGAAGACGCGAGCCAGCCCACTCGCCAGACGAAATTCCAGTTCAAAGATAGAATTGTCCAGATGCTGGTCCCCGTTTCGCCCGATCGGTCGAGAAACGCCACGGGCTAAACGCGACACGATTTATTCTTCTCTGCAGAGAAGGCCTTCCTTTTGGCCATCCGCAATGCGCAGGAGGAAAAAAAAAAAAAAAAAAAAAAGAAAGAAAGAAAGAAAGAAAGAAAAAAGGGAAGAAATAGCGATCACCTCCGGAAAATTGGTCTCGTCCTTGGATTCTCAAACTTGGGCAACCGATAATCATCGGGATCGTGGTGTGGAATTGGCGAAATGTGTTGCGACCGTTCTCTATTCTCCACCTTTCTCCCTGAATGGGAAACATGCTCGTCATCCCGAGGAAACGTTTGCCGTGTTTCCTTTCTGTCGATGAATCGTCCATCATAGGCAAATATGACAAGCGGGCAGCGCCCCCTACAAAGAAGATCGGGGACCGTGAAAAATCTAGCAGGGCTGACGGTGCAGATTCGGACCTCGCAATCTGGGCCTTGATGCAACGCGATTTCGAAGAAAGAAGAGTGGAACTTTTGCTCAATGGACGGCATTGGTTTGTGGAAACTATGGTGGTGGATCAGTATGGGAATCGGTCCAAGCTACGCTCGACTTCTGTGTAACCGAATTTCTCGCTCTCGTTCGGGTTACCAAGGTGATCGTTCATATGGTTGTAGCGAGTTTGGTATGATGCTTCGATGTTTTTCAAAATTTGGATACTAGAAGATTTATTTTGGACCATATCTGTAACTAGATTTAACATTTTTATACAATTTTCACTTAATTTTCAATAGTGTAGGTGTTAATAAGAAGTAAATTTATTAATAAGAAAGTAAAGACAAAGTTAATGAGTATATGATCCTACATTTTGTTAGAATTCGTTCCAATCCTAGGAAATACCGTAATGCAAATAAGAAAATATAAGAAACAAATGTTCCATTGTGCGACAAAACTTGCAGAAAAACTTGTAAATACTTATTCAAATAAATGGACATATACGAGAAAGAAATACGTACGCAAGGATAAATTTATTTACTTATTTAATAAACTTACCAAGTAAATCGGACTAAAATCATCGAACGCGAGGGTCCATCCAGAAGCGACTTCAGTATCCAAGATTTCGGTCGGATTCACCGAGGAGGAAATTATTTTTTTCCATTTTGCCGGCTATTTTTGCGCCCGAGTGTTGCGCCCGAGGAGTGACTGACCTCTGGCCAGTTTCGCGGTGCCACGTTGATCGCCTATTTTTAAGCCGGCGAAAAATGCATAGTCTCCCTTTCGAAAGAAACACAGCCGAGAAAAGTGTGCGAGCACGAAGAGGAGCGAGGGAGGAGGAGAAAGATGGGACAGCGGAGTTGAAAACAGAGAGAATCGTCGTCGCCGTCGTCGCCGTCGTCGTCGTCGTCGTCGCAGTCGATGCTCGGTGGAAAAATTTATTTCGAAACGGCCACATGTCACGGTCAAGAAAAGCGGTCTCTTCTTCCTCCCCCTCCCCCCTTCTCGAATTCTTCAACGTTACCCAGAA